CTCTCTCTCTCTCTCTCTCTCTCTCTCTCTCTCTCTCTCTCTCTCTCTCTCTCTCTCTCTCTCTCTCTCTCTCTCTCTCTCTCTCTCTCTCTCTCTCTCTCTCTCTCTCTCTCTTCCTATTTTCTTCGTGAAGGCAGAAAGCCGAGAAATAATGCGCAAACTTCTACGGACGAAATCCTTTGGAAAAATATTTCTTACGCTTCTATGGAACACTTCGAGCGTGCCGATGCGTTTTTGTTCGGAACGCTATACTTTCGACTGTGCGCCCTCTGGTTGTCTGACTCTGAAACAATGGGGATTTCCAACGGTATGATGTTTCCTCTTCCTTTTATTAAGTTTATAAATATATTACTTGGAGCATTGTCTGTAATAATAATTGAGAATTATGAAAGATGAGATGAAATGTTGTGTACTTACTTTTGTCTCAGTTGGTTGTAGGTTAAAATTTTGTAGTTTTAATTTTGGTAGTTAAAATAGATGAAATGAGATAGATATTTTATATGTAAGGATTGTACTTGTGTGATTAATACGTATTACTATGCAAGAAAGAACAAAATATTGAATGATTCGGTTAATTGCATTTATATAGGTATTAAAAGGAATTTTTAAATAGAATTAAATAAAAAAAACTGTAAAAAATTATAATAGAATATTTAATTGTAATAAAAATAGTAATATATTTAAATTTTATATATTTTAATATTCCCTTATGTCTACTAAACATTTTTCTATTCTTATTATTTATTATTTATTATTATTCATTTTTCGGTTTCTTTGAAAAATTCCAAAAAGGATTCTTTTTTTTTTCAATAAATTTCAATTTAAACGTAAAGGAAGGGTTTGTTGCATTTTCATTTCTCAAAACTCGAAATTTGATGCTTGGAAATTCACTTGAATTAAACAGCCGGTGATTGCTAGGTATGATTATATCAATATTAAATATTCTAATCGTCATTAGCGATAAAAATTTCTAACATTTGAAAAATACTTTGTAGAAAATTTAAACATCTTTGTGATTACGTGCTGGTGATTCACGTTTTCCGGGTAACGGAGTCGAATAAATCGCCTCTTTATTTCGTTTCGTGATTCAACTGTGAAATCGCGAGAATTCGCACGGTACGGCAAGCTGTTTTCAAGATAATTCGACATGCGCGCGCGCGCGCGCGCATTTAATCGAGCTTCGAGGAATAAAAAACGGGAAGAAATTTCCTAGTAAAATATAAATCCATTTTTAATAAAACTTCTTGAATCGTGTTCTTATTTATTTACTCTTAATGGCAAATTATTGAACCGAATAACCGATACAAGAGATAAGATATTTTTCGTCATTTTTAGAATAATATAATCTAAATATATGTACGCGTACACACAAGAAAAGCAAAAATGCAAAAGTTTGCATCTTTTTTGTCCTTCGTGGGTTAAATTAAATTACAAAATTTACAAAATTAAATTTAAAATAATAATTCCAAATTAATACAATTCTATAAATAAGATAGAAATAATTTTGTATCGAAAAATATATGTATTTTTTTTTTTTTTAGAAAAAAGTTGATTTTCATATATCCTCAATTTTTTTATCTAAAAAAAATTCAGTTAATCAAATAATATCCCTTTCGAAGAAAGTAAGTTTATTCTATCTAGAAATATTCTTTGGAATATCAAATAGTTTTAATATTAGTACGTATGAATGTCTTGTTCAGAATTATAGGATGTTCAATTTGAATTAGTTTTTAGATTTAAAAATATTTGTACATCATAGAATTTAAATTTGCAATAAAAGATGAATAATTCAAGAAGACTTGAAAAGTTACAAATAAGAATTTTCAGTGTCAAATAATATTGGCAAGACATTTCTATCTTTTTTATCTCAGCCTTCGGTGAATTCCTAAGTGTTTGCGTGCATGTAGACAGGATGCATACGATCTTATATCATCTTATATCATCTATCAAGTATCGTCATTGGATATAAATAAAACGCAAAATCTAAAGATGCGAAAACAAGATCGGACGTATAATATTGAAATATAAATTTTGTTTTAAAATATCGTTAAAATTGTTGATTTTAAACTTTTTAAATAGATAAAAAATTCTTACATAAAAATAAGCATTTAATCAATGTTGATATCATCAGCTGTTGATTGGCATTGAAGTATTTTATGCAATTATATAATCAATCCTGACACTGACAAATTATTAGCTACTAGTTAAGGAGATGTCTGTCTCCTTAGTTTCTTTATTTCCGGCGATTCATGTCGTAGGAGATGTTTTTGTACTAGTTAATATTTTTTTTCCCATTATTATTGAATTTACCTTTCATTATCTCAATTGCAATAGCAATTAAAGTATATCATCACTAACTAAAGGATTTAAAAGCAAATATTGATTTTCAAATTTCCTCCATTAATCTTATTTATTATTTACCATTAATTTATTAATTATGTTTCTATACGCGAAAAACTAATTAACAATAGTCTAAAAATATTCTCTTACACCGTCTAACTGTGAATCACGATCTTATAGCTTATACTTCACGAAGTATTTTTCGAGGAGTCTCCGTTATTTTTATTTTTTTTCTCCAAAATATCAGAATGATGCTTTCACAATTATAATATATTGTACTGTTAATCACTCGATATAGAATAATATTAATTTTTATAATTCTCGTTACTTTATATAGAAGAACTCGTAGTAATTCAAAAAAGATTGAGAAACAAACTGCCTTACGAGAAACGAACATGGCTTCCCACCGTTTCAACGGACATTATTATAAAAATCTTGTTCGGTATTCTTCACATTCTTACCAAACTTTCAATTACACGTAACAACAGAATAACACTTGTAACACGTAAAATCTCAATATTGTATTTCATCTCACACGTTTCAATACGTATTTTCCTATATCTCGTGATCCGTTAATAATAGGTTAAGCGTACCAACGAAAGAAATTCAAGCGTGAAACCACTCGTTATACCATAGTATATACTAAATGTTCCTTAATTTCCCAGCAACCATCGGATTTGTGGTTTTTTCACGGGCCGCTAGAGGAGGCTATTAGCGGTGTGTCAGTGTGTGGCACGTTGCGCTATTGCATGTGTTGTAACGTTGCTTACACACACACACACATACAGGGTCGCATTATAATAACCGTGTTACCACAAAGGCGACAACTTACTTGCAGATTAGAAGAAGAAAAGTAGTACTTGAGCGGACTCTTGAGGCGTGCCGGTCTTTACCGTGGCGTGTTAAAGTCGACCGCACATATTTAAAGAGCGGCCGGTAAACTTTGCGAAAGGGAAAACCGTGTGAAAGCTCGCGTTAACCCCCTTTTTTTTTTTTTTTTTTTTTTTACTTTTCTAGTTACCCCTTCTACTAGGCATGCCAATTCACGTCCAATTAAACGTAATAACGATCCGTTGGCTTTGAACGCGAAAAGAACAACCGCACTTTGGATTACACGTTTTTACATCACGATCGTCGTGAGTGGTTTTTTTCTCTCTTTCTCTTTTGCAAGGATACTTTTTGGGATGTTGTGCTTGGAATTAAATTTCGGTTCACGATAAGGTTCAAAAGCTTAGATTTTTTTTTTTGGATGAAATTTCTAATCTATTCGTTCCATCATTTCGTTGAACGAAATTTTAGTTATAATCGTATTATATTCACATTGATTAAATTATTTAAATGTAATTTTTAACTATTATTTATATAAATGATCTTCACGTTTGTATTCTAGAGATTATTAGATTTTTATTATGGTGACAATTTAGTAGTAACTTGAAAAATTATATTGCATTCATTTCCCAAGTTTATATTATTAAACATTATCTCTTACTTGAATAATTAATCACGATTCAAACACAATAAGATCTTTATATTATCTTCGAGAGTATTACGCAGAGTTTATAATATAATAATAAAAAGTCAATGAACACTTTCACAAATAATATCACCATTATAATATTATCTTATCGTATTGGGCAATATTTTTCCACAAATAGACAGATATTGCACAATTTATCTCCCGAAAGAAATTACTACTTCACCTAACTTACAACCACATGGGGACATCGAAATCCCGTAACCTCACAAAGCCTCGCATTTCTTCCATTTTCACCATTCACATTCGTTTCAAAGAATTATATTAGAAAAACCGGCTCTGAAGATATGTAGGAACAAATAGCTGACTACACAAATAGATAGGCTAACGCGTGATAAGGGATAGAATAAGAAAGAGAATTCGATGACAAAGCGGGTCGTGGCAGATAAGAATGATTGGGAAACGGGGGCAGAAATATATCTGGAAAAACAATTTATCGCGAAACAAGTTGCCGTGGCAAATAACGGAGTGCACTCTTGACCCAATAAGAAATGATACGCTTTGACGAAACGAAACTGGGGGATTGGTTACCATCTTCTGGTCATCGTTGTTGCGACTCTCGTCAGATTAATCGCGATCTTTATACTCGTCTGCCGACGCTATACTGCATTCTATTCCGCGGATTTATTTCGCTTTTCGATGTCGACGAGTTATGAAGATGTTATAGTCTCGCGAGAATCGTGACTGAAGACACGCGTGGACCAGATTATAAATTTATTTGTTTTCGTTGCCCACGCGAAACAGGTGTCTTGATAGTGAATAATTATTCAACAAGATTCAGTAATTTCTCGATTTCTTGATTGACATTCGATGTTGTAAAGTTCGTTCGAAAAATGTGGATAATTCGTTAGATTCTTAGTTTGTTATTTTTTTTTTTTTTTTTTTTTTGCTTTGAAATTTGAGAGAATTTTTTGGAAACAAATTCGAATGTATGTGAATGATTTTTTAGTTCGTAAGAAGTGAATGTCAATTTTGAAGATAAATTTAGTTTACAGAGATATATTTAATGGGAAGCAATGCAAGTTTGTTAAGAAAATATTATCAAAAAGATAAACGGTCTATGTAAATTCTTTTTTCAAAACGTGATTAATTATTTCTTTTTGCTCGTATTTATCTTCTCTATAGAAGATTATGAGTTGTGCAAGTTTGTAAATTTGATATTCCATTATACAGGTTTCTTTGTGTGAAAAGTGATCAGCAATTTTAACTTGATCGACGTATAGAAAAAGGATCTTCAATTTAAGGAATTTTCAAATTGAAAAGGTAATCTATATTCAGATTACACATTGTAATATTGTTGTTTATTCACGAATAAACAAACGCAAATAGAGAAACATTACATTCATAATGATATATTTCTATGTCAAGGTTCCCGGTGATATTCACAAAGATGAGATTTCAAGTTTACGTCCTTCATCTCTGCTTCCTCATGCTCGTCGCGTTGACGTGCCATTCCCAGGCACAGTTAGCTACAACCACAACCGAGCAGCCTACTTTTCTACAAAAGATCCGTGAAACGTTCAAAAAAGTGGAGGAAACCACGAAGATGAAACTTCATAATTTCCATATTTTTGACCCACCATGGATTTATACAACAACCACAACTACCACGGAGAAACCAGAAGAAGAATTAGCCGAAAATTTTAATCTAGAGAACAGACAACTCATCACAGTGCCCGTCAGGTGTCCTCCCAATCATGACTTCATAAGGGGAAGGTGTCGCGAGAAAATTCCATAAATTTTCCATTCTTTTCCATCTTTCGATATATTACTTACTTTTATCAACCTATTATTTTAATTACATTGCGATAAAAACACTAATCCTCATCCCTATTTTATATAAATACTCTTTTATATCGTAGAAACACGCACGTAGGGAAAGTGTTAAAAAAAAAAATAATAATTCTGCCTTGTAACAATTTGTTATTAAATAAAAAATATAAAAAAGAACGAAAATAACGAAATATCGAATCGATCAAAATCGATACGCGTATATAATATTACACAGAACATAATATTATATTATACGAAATTTCATTTTTTGTTTCGAAACCTTACGCTTACGGCATGTGATGTTACACGATCGTGTGACGTTTGATCATCTCGAGAGAGATTGGCGGCGAGATACGACGTAATTATCGAACGCTCGTCTCGCGTGGAGTTTCGCGGAACTTGACAACAACGTTGTAACTACGGATGGAATGCGAAAGGGGAGAGAAATGTCGGGTAGTAGGTCCCGCGGAAGTAACTTTACGAGGGCCGATGAATCTTGCGTGAAATGAAATGTGAAAAACTTATCGAATAAAGGCTCCGTGTAATTTTACGAGGGCCAAGGAATCTTCCGCTAAATGAAATGTGAAATGACCTCTGAATGAAACCGTTCTACTCGAATAAGGCTTGATCTCCAAGGCTTGACAAAAGTTCGCACAGAGGCGATTTCTGAATAATAACGATCGAGTAGAATTGGAATTGGAAAAGTTGCTTTTTCTTTTATTCATAATTTTTATGGATTTTACTTTTACCTTCAGTTGACAAACGGGCGGAATAAGTTGGAGTTTCATTGGATACGCGAGGGAAGTGTATGTATAATGTCGAGAAATTAATTAACAAAATAAATAAATAAAAGACAACATTAAAATTAATAGAATTATCTTGTGTAAAACTTTAATTATGTTACAAAAAATTGTTCAATTTGTGTAAAATTTTTAAAATCATACCGTATTGCAAATCTGCAATCCACGATTTATAACAATTATAAATTTCCGCGCGAGAACAACATCCGATCAATTAGCAGCTCAGGTAAATTAATTCAATTTCGCAGGTTCTCATGTTAGTCACCAGAAGCGAGAAGCGCGATATGATCTGATCTGATAGGGATCGAGGTCTCCTGGCAAATGCGACGAAGGCACGAAAGAAATGGCCGAAAATTCGCTTGCGTTCCATCACCACCGCGACACTTATCGTAATCGTTCATTAACCAAACACCATTTTCTCCCTCCAATTATCAATTACGATCGTTGTAAGTTGATTCATGCCTGCTTCGCGTGACACACGTTTCCGCAAACGTGGCGCAACAAACTTTGAATTAAAATTCCACGCCGACCAACAAATACAAGTAAGTGCACGTATAATTTTGCACCGGAGGTGGATGAGAAAAGAATGGTGAATGAATGAAAGCCGAATTTGCGTGATTGCTAATTGTGAATGTAGAACCTTTGGCTGGCGACGTACTCTCCTCCTTTTCCTCTTACTACTGCTTGTGCTCGCGTATTCAAGTCAGCCAGATTTTGTACTCATTGTCAGAAAGTAAAGACCTCCTCGACACTTGTTGCTCGCCATCGACATTTGTCTGCGCGTTCCACTGTTATGTACGCGTGTGCATTTCGCTTTCGTGGTTGCATTCTTTGTCAACGTTATGTGTGTAGATAGGAAACATGTACGCGTACAAAGAAAAAGAGGAGGAGAGAGAGAGAGAGAGAGAGAAAGAAAGGTTGTTAGGACGATTTGATAATGCCTACTTGGTATTGCATTTCTTTTATTTTCTCTGAATCGTGCGACAAATGTCTGTGAAATAAGTATTCATTATTGTCAGCTATATTGTATGTCTGAATGTTTAATTGAAACGATTCTTCGCGTGAAAAAAGGAAGAATTATATATATTTTCTGCATACAATATTTTCGAGGGGGAAATACGTTTTAGCGTGTATTCTTTTCTTTTGCATTTTTATTTAATCATCGATGAATGCAACTTCTTTCTCGCGTTTGAGGTCTCGCGGTTTAAAAGTGATAACGTTTGTTGGATTTGGGTTAAGTGTGAATCAAGAATAGATTAGATCAAACTTAACTAGTACTTAGCTATGATACAGTTCCCTAATATTGCTCGTGATCACGTAACTGTAGAAAAATAGCAGAAGTGGATAGCAAACGATGAATAAGATCCATTATATATTGTTAAAACAAATTTTTAAATCTTTCTCCCTATTCTATATATTGTTTTTTTTTTAAATTAAAAATTGCAATGCTTATAAAATTGAAATAAAAAAGAATAATTATAGGTATTATTTTTCTTTTATAATCGAATAGAATACTTTTTGCAGAAATATTTACAAGTTATACTTACAAGTCGATGGACATAATTTGAAACATGTTTAAGTCGAAGAACTTGTCTGAACCCGGTTGCACCCAGATCTGAAGTTAATTTAGGATATAGTGGGAGAATTAAGTATAGATTATAGCGTGAATTAGTCAGGATTAGACACGAATTAGATCTAGCTTAAGATATTGATCGCCTAGTTTCAGGCTAAATTATTCTAATAAAAATTTTATGCCATTAAATTTTACACGCTTAATCAAATCAATAAGTTTCACAAGATCAACCGTTCAATTGTGTAATAACGGCTGACAGTCCCTCCCCCCCCCTCCCCCTCCAGTAGGAAAAGTCATAAAATTAATTCGTATTTATTTTAAAACAAATGAATCGAGCGAAAAATTTTATTTCTGGTTTATTGGATTTGGCTTCAATGTTTCAGAAAGATAACGTTTCGCACGCCAGAGTATATTTAACGAGGTGGTAAATGCACGAGAGATATACAATATTCGATTCTATATAAACGCGTCATTTTCCAATTTGTCGATACGATATTTAAAAACTATAGTTTCATTAAACTTCTTTTTTTTTTTTTTTTTTTTTCCCCACTTTCTCATAAATTCTATATATTCAATTGAGTTGATCCCAAGTGTAAAATTTTCGAAAAAAAAAAAAAATGCCGTAAATAATTGACGAGCGTTAAACGATCATCGTGAGTGAATTTCGAATTGAATGACAACCGCTTAAATGGACAACGGCCGATCCAAAATTTTCTTCCGATCGTCATAATTTTCGAAGTTGTCCGAGTGTCGTTCAAAATTGCGAACACGAGATAACAGTGGAGAGAGAAAAAAAAAAATAAAAGATTACCCTACGGTCGATGATTTCGTCGTGCACCGTTTTCGTCGGGCATGGTTTGAAAGCGAGCCAAAAAATTTGCTCTGGCCAGCGTGGAAAAACACATAAAAATTCCGACAACGACGTAACTTCATTTGCATCACTAATGCCGTTGTCGAAACAAATTTCCTCGTTTTTCCCGCCTCTTTGTTCTGTCTTCTCTTTTCCGTACATTGTTTAACCACGACAAAAAGAAAAGAAAAATAGGGAAGGAGAGAGAGAGAGAGAGAGAGAGAGAAGAAAAAGAAATCAAATGAAACCGCATATAATGAAATTGAACGAGAATTCGAATGATCTTAATTTATAATTATATAAATATTTTAAAAATAACGTTAGTCGAGTCTCGTGGTAAATTGTCGCCTTCTTTTTTTCGGAGGAGGGGAGTATATGACGAAGTATTGTATGCACATTTTAATCAAACGATTTTATTTTGCATGACGAGTTTCGTTTTATTTAATATCTGTACCCTTTTAATTTATTTTATAAAATTAAAAAAATCGTTTTGCATTATTAAAAGAGTATATCGAGTAGAATTTTGTTTTGTAAAAAAATTATACGTACATTTTCAAGATAGATTGAGAAGGATCTTGTATATAAATCTATAAAAATAATCTTCGATTTAATTTCTTACAATGTATACGCTGGTTAATAAGAATCAATTTTATTTTATATGTATATATTTTTTTATTGAACGTACGTTGAAATTTTGGAGACTCATCGGCACAATCGGAGACAATGGTTTAATTCACAATGGCACGTAAGAAGAAACAGATGGCAGGTTATTGCGCTCAGAGCTGATAGTCAGATAATCCATAGTCGTTACTTTGTTACAGCGCACGTTATCGTCGTTAAAAGTAAGAATCTTGATACTTTTGTACTTTTATGAGACGCCATCTCTTTTTATCGGACGCTACGCGATTTTTTATTATCCCGCGAGAAGACAAATTTACTCGCTGTCTCAGCGAAAATATTTTCCTCGTCCTTGCATTATTCTCATTTTTTTTTTATTATCATTATTATTATAGTAGGTAAGAATGTCTATTCTTACCTAAATGATAAATTGTCACAGTATTATTATCAGTTCCTTGTAAATCCCCCCCCCCCTCCCCCCCACATTTTAATTTCATTGAACACATTGATGTTGAATTAATTGAAAAAATCTGTCTTCTTTTTTTCTTTCAATGCATTTTATTATTATTATTAATTCGAGGTTTTCGAGATTTTCAATTCAGAGGCTGATTTCTCTTTAGGTTTATTAACGCTTATTTATAAAAGTTTTTTGTATTGTTATTAATTTGATAATTTGTAGAGTATTGAGTTAATAATTCTGTCGAGTCTAAAATTTCCAATAAATTTTGTTACAATTTATTTTTGTTGAAGGAAAGGATAAAATATAAGAAACAAGCAATAATTCGTATTATAACAATATGCAGTTAGATATTGCGAAGTAAGAGTTTAAGGAAAAATTTAATAATTTTTTTACGAAATGTTTGATGATATAAAATATAAATGATCCATTTCTCTTTCAAACTACGTATTACATAATTTCTCGATGCTATGTTAAATGAACTCGAAATATTTCCTCCCTTTCATTAATATTTCCCTTTCGATATTAAAAACCAATCAAACCAACGTTTCGATCAATCAATTCTCCCAATTCAATATCAATGATCCGGCGTTTTTTCTCTAACGCTAATTTAAATATTTCCTCTTTTCGTTTCGTTGCGGTCGACATCCTTTCACGAAACATCATTGATTCTAAAATTATAAAAAAATTTAATTAGTTTTTTTTTCATATATTAAATCAGTGCGCAAAATATTCCAAAAAAATTGCAAAAAAAAAAAATTAATATAATTACGGATTCATATCTTCCAATGTGAATGTTGAGTCGAGATAAAAAAATTCATAGAAACGAATTCATACTGGGAGCCTTAAACGAGGCGAATTTTATAGTGTAAAATTTGTTCAAATATAATAATTTAAATATATATGTTTCAATAATAATGCGCACTATATTTAACTATAATTTATTCCATATTCCATTTTAAAACCTTTTCCTTTGAAAATTAATTTTCAAAATATGATTATCCTTTCAAAAGCTGCAAAATAAAATTACCAGAATTATTTTTCAGAATCATTTTTCTGAAAGAATGGACGATCGATTGAATTAAAAAAAAATAAATGATATCCGAATTAAATATTATTCCATTTCGTTTACGATGTTTATTCGCATCCTCCATTTTTGTAAATATTTTTAATGTCACATACAAAATTTCATTAGAAACAAAAGTTTAATGAAATTTACACGCATGATCCTCGCATGCGTACACCACACTCGATAAACGTGAAATTTTTTTAAATATTTGCAATTTCTATTCGTTTCAATTACGAATATACCATATATATCTCTCTATATATCAACTATACACATAAATAATAATCAATATTTAACAATTCTCATATCGAAACACCTCACAATTTCAACCTCAACTTTTGAAACATCCTGTAAATACATATGGGCAACTAGCGTACACAACGTCAATCAAAAAGTACGGAAATAACGGGGGAGGAAAAGTAACGAGTAAATAAAAGGAAAAAAAAAAAAGAAAAGGGACGAAGCAAAACGAAAAATTACTCTATTCGATTCAACCAACTAAATACATCGGCCACGGTTGAAAGGGGATTCGAGAGGTAGAAAAAGAGGGAGGTTGAAGAGCGTAGAGAGAGATAGCCGTGACACGAAAACGAATTCGTCTGCCCCCCCACCGTACCGCTCGTCTCGTCAAACACCGGATTTTTCCTCTGGGCCAATATCGCAGGGTTTTTTGCATACCCATAAACGATCGCGACGTCGAACAGCATCGATAACCCATAATCATTGGTGTCCCGTCAGCCCGCTCCTTCTGGGCATGAATAAAACAAACATAAGTTTCGCAGCGAATTCAATATCCAGCGCCCCTATAACACGCCACGCCGGGGGAAGAACCGCGATGGGACGAGCGGAGCAATCAGTTGCACCCGCGTGCATAGGCATTCGAATGCATGGCCGAGAGTCAGGGTCCGAGTTTGAGGCTCGAAATTGACCGATTTCACGACGTGCTCGTTTTCTAAACTTATTTTAAAATTTACAATTATTTAATTATTTCATTGTAGGTTTTTAAAGTTATTTTTTACGATACGATCGAAATAAAAATAATAGTCATTGAAAAATTCTGATATATATACATTCTTTGTATGTAATAAATAAATTTTTGTTAACCCTTATCGTTAATAATAATTGTGATAAAACTGTGTGTATACGATGTATATATGTATATCGCACGAGTGTAGATTTAACGAGGCCTCTTTATTCAGAGTTCGAGAGTGCATAGCTATAAATCAAACATCACGGCAAGCACATCTGGGATCGTTGAATTGAGAATCAAGATTCGAAAGAGATTTTCCAGATCGGCATGAAGGATCACTCTAAATTTCTTAGAACACTTCATTCCCGATTCGAAAAGAGAGGATTTCGTAAGAGAGAGTCGTGACATTCGCGATGATTGGCCCCATTATTTCGGAAGGATTGTTCAATCTAAAGGATTCTCGATCAAAAGTTTTGTCTTTTGGAGCAAGGAAGAAATTAGTGAGTCAAAGGATAAATGATTTAATAGAGATCATAAGAATTCTACAGTTAAATCTTAAAATCTTACTCGGTTCAGATTTTCAAGATATTTCGCTTTCAATTGGGAAATTTAGTTTTTCAATGAGCTCTGTCAATCAGTTGTCCCAATTCCGAAGATTCACATTTTCTTCTCAAAGCAGAATGTAGATGATTGTTCGAGTTTAAAGGATTCTGGTTTTAACAATTCTATTAACTTTACTTTTTTATGTTACAAGATTTATTAACATCATATTTTAAAGTTTTAAATATTTTAACTGCTACATTATTTTTTGTTATTGAAGAAGTTTTTTAATAATTACTTTAAGAATTTATTGGATAATAAAGTAAAGATGATTAAAATAACTTAGGATTTTTTTTAGGATTCTTAAAAATTCAGAAAATATTCAAAGACTTTGAGATAGATAAAATGAATTTAAGAATGTTGAATTACTAGTAAAAAAAAAAAGAAAAAAAAGAAAGATACACGATACAAAGAAATGTATAATAGTTCTTACTTTAAATAATTTTTAATATCGTATGTATGTAATTATTTATTACATTTACATTATCATAAAAATCTAAGATTATTAGAAATAATATTTACGTTTCAATTGTAGTAAACGAGGAGGCTGATTTGTTGATTATTTTTGTACGTTTGATCAAATGCACTCTGTCTGGTTGAACTTTGGTAGAATTCTAAGTTTAGTATCTATGCATCTGTATGCAGTTTACGTTACTACACACGGAAGTTGATTGTTTGGAGGTAGCGAAGGTTTACGATGGAAACTCGTAATTCCAATTACTAATATCCGATCCGGATGGAAAAGATGGGAACTAAACCGCTCGACTTGTGTCTTCTGGCTTTATTAGAAATCGATATTTATTGTTCGGTATAATTAAACGCGCTCGTCTTGCATCCATCTTAACCCTTTTTGAATTAAATTTTTTTTCATTGTCAAGCGAACAAAATAATTTCTTTGTATATTTCTTAACTCTGAAAAAATTAGAATTATCTTCAAATTATAAATAATTGTCATTGTGTTAGTATCTTAAAATTACAAGGTATACAACGATTTCCTTTTTTTTTTTACAGAATAAAAACTATAATATAATCCAAAATTTTCTTAAAATTTAAATCTTCCGTTATTTTATATCAATTTTAGATTAATTTCTGTAATATAAATTTATTGATTGCCATTCCTATTAATCTTTCTTTATTATTTTTAATAGGGATATTAATGCCAATTATTTTAACAAAACAATAATAACTTCTAACGTTATATATAGATCCACAGATCTCTTAATAAAAAAATAAAATAAAACAATTATTTGTCGAACCCAATACAACGAATAAAAATTTTTTTCTTCTCGTAATTACGAACAAAATTTTAACAACAAGATAAGACTGGGTGAAAAATACAACAAATATCGTTAATGGGTACATATTGCTGTGTCATACCGTCATATTTCAAGGCCACGATCAACTTAGAATTCTCCATACCTTTGGTTCCACACGTTGGATATGGAATAGGGAGGGAAACGAACGAGGCCTGGAAAGCGGCGTTTCGGGCAATGCCGCTTTGAAAATCGATAAACGGCTCCGCGTAGTCGACCAGTCAGGAGCTTTTCGGTGTATCCGCGCTGGAGATCCTGCCCTGGTCACGTGGCGCTGCTTACGTCCACGGAAATACCAGCCATCAGCTTAAAATTGCACACACAATGTCCCTATCGACACACGGCCATCTCGAAAAGATCACGGACACGAATTGATCGTCCAGGGTCGAGTTAAGCTTACGGAGATTAGGTCACCTATTTTGCTCTGTTTTTCTCACTGTAACGTTCGTACACATTCGTATATATTGATTGCTGCTACGTTTTATAGGACGATTCGAAATTTAGGATAAACATCTGTGAATCATTCAGGGATAAAAAAAGCTTAGTCAATTTCACTTTTTCCAATGGAACCATTTTTGACGGGTTTTTAGAAAATTTTTCTCTTAAAACGTATAATTAGTATTTAATTTTTCACGAATGATTATTATTCTCGATAAAGTTAAAGTTGAAGTCATCGATTAATGTATATTTTTTACGAGGATTAAAGTTAAGTTTTCATTTTTTTGTAAAAGAAAAGAATTTATTTATAGGGAATTCGTATATAGGCAAAAAATAAGATGGAGGATAAAATTAGATATTTGTGTCTCGAAAATAATTTAATTTCGAGAATAATTTGGATATATTTTTATATCGAATATTGTATTAAATGAACGAAATGACGATAAATATATCTATCAGGATATCGCCATATTTTTAAAAATAAAACCTACAACACAGTTTCTAACTCGAGAATCGTCATTCTGTTTTCAAGGATTACAAAACGCATCTCGATCGTTTTTGGTAGAATTGATCTGATTTATGTTTCGATTCTTGTCGATTGAAAATTTTGATTTGTAGGATATCGGTGAAATTGACACCACTCGTGGACAAGGCTGATCTAAGTGTGACAGTTTCTATCAAGCATGTCCTCTTCTATGACTCGATTACACAGCGTGTTGTAGAGATAGATCCGATTAAAACGTCCGATTAAAGGGGCTGTAAGTAATTGCATCCAGCAGATGACGCGGGATGATTGATCGAATTAATCAGCCCGGGTACTCGAACATCGCTAAAAAGCAACTGCCAAGTCGCGATAAATGGAACATGGACAACTCGAATGCGAACGAAACAACTGCATCGACCTAACTTATTCAATTTCAAAGTGAAAGCAATCAGTACTAGTATTTGCCTGGTTAAATTCGACAGCCTCGGTACTAACCATTCTGAATTTATCGACTCGGTGAGAGGGAAAAGCCTCTGGAAAGGAACCTAAAAATGGGTCAACGGTGTGTCACTCAATCTAATCCTACTATTTTCACAGTCAATTTTAAGAATTTTAGATATTTCCAACAAGATGCTCAAGAAAAAAAATCTTGGTTAAGTGAATTTCATAAAAAGTTTTCATTACTAGTTAAAATCCTGACCGAGAGGATCATAATAAAATCTTTATCAAATCAGCTTGGATGTTTGATGTAAGTATCGAAAAATTCGATTATAGAATTATCTTGTAATTTGAAGAGTAATAAGAGTAATTTAAATTAAAAGAAGATACAATTTTATAATTTATACGAGATCAAAAACTTTGGATTATACGATTACAATTTAAATATATCAAACTCAATTAATCAAAAAAAAAAAAAAAAAAAAAAAGGAATTAAAATGAATTAAAAAATTGCTGAAAAATTTTCAGATTTCTGATTAAAAATGTGAAAATTCGCTAAGCAAATTCAATATAATTAAATAAAAATCTGTAATTAAATTCTAGATCCAATCAGATCTATTTAAATTAAATCAAAATGAAATTTAGAGCAATAAGATTTTATTATTATAATTTATTGGTTTTAAAAAATGTTGTTGATCATGTTATAATAATGGAATAGATAAGAGTACCATTCATTTTATTTAGATACATATTATATTTAGATACATATCGAAAGATGATGACATTAAATAATCTTAATCTGATTTATTGAATTAATTCAACATAAAATTTAAAATAGTTCAATCAGTTCCATTTCGAATAAAAATATAAAAAGTCACTAATTAAATATGATAAAAATCCTAATAATATAAAAAGAAAAATGGATCAAATAATTACAGTAATTAAATTTATAACGATTCAATTTGAAATTAAGATGAGAATAATATCTAGAAAAAAAAAACTCATCGATTTCAAATAAAAATACTTAATCAAATCCTATAAAAACGCCAATAATGTTTAAAACCCAGAATCTCTTTGTACGATAGTACATCAATCAATAATACTGATAAATTGTCAAAACACGAATTTTAGACTTTTGTTGCGCCAATAGTTTTTACAATTTTAAAATCCTAGCTTGAATGGGACAATCAATTTTACCAATTTGTAATTGGTAAAATTCATTCGTAGAATTTTATTTATTTCGTTATAAAATTTTGTTGCTAAAAAATATTGTGCAAATAAGAAAATTTGTTGCTATTAATCTATTGAAAATAATAATTATATGCTATTGTATTATTTCAATATTAAGAAAAAAAAAATAATAGAAATTACAGAAAAAGTTTTTCTACAATAAAAGTAAAATGTAATAAAAGTATTTTGACAAGATATAATATATTTTTTTTCTCTCCTCATAATAATTGGAAATTTTATCAAATTCGATCAAATCAAATTACCAATTATCCAATTGTCCCATACAACGTAAAATTGTAATTTAAAAAAAAAACCTACGATATATTAATTATCAATTGATCAATTTAACAATTTATTTCTATAAAAAAAAACAATAATACAAAATAAACAGAAAAGAAAAACATTTCTCTTTCACGTTGAAAATTAATTCCATATCGATAATCGACCAATTTAATCAATTCAACAAATTCCTATTAGAGAAGGGTGGAAAAATCGCGAGTAGGTCGCGGGCAAAGGGCACACAGGTGCGCCAGATCCCGAAGGAGGCTTCCATCCTCGCCTCCTAGTCCTAGCCCGATAAAGTGCGCAGACGTCCTCGCACGCCGACGAGGATGGCCGAGTGGAAGAACAGTGGAGGCGCGAAACGCTCGTTCCCCCGTGTCCGGAAGCATCGATGTGGCCTGAACGTCGCACGAGGAGAGAGCCTGCCAGAGTAGGATGGAGCGAGGTGGAAACTAGCCTCATTCCCTATACGGCCGCGCGGGTGGGTGAGAGCGAGAGAAAAGGATAACGCGGCCGCGCACGCGCGCCACCAGCCTCCGGAACGGCCGACGAGAGATCTAGATGGAGTACGGATCGGGTGGGAGTGCGAGAAGGGGTGGAGAGAGGGAGAAGGAGGAACGTATACACTGGTCTCGTAGGGCAGTCGTTCCTCCTTCGTCGTTCCTTCGCAAAGGCGCAGACCGCTTTTAATCAAAATTATTTTGCGCGACAGGGAGATATAAAAGAGAAGGAAAGATCGCGAAACTACGATCCAACGACGACCGTTACCGTTCATTATCAACGTTCAACGATATATACGTAAAACCGGTGTCGTCTTTCGCTCGTTGCAGTATTATCGGTCGCGTATCACGGTGTCGCTGCTCCCTCGTACCAGCAGTGCAAAGTGGTGGTGCCGGTGGCTGAACGAGAGGAGCAGGCGGAAGAAAGGCGGAGGAAGCTACGAGACGAAATCCTCGTCCTTTTCGTCGTCGTGCACGGGGTCAGTATCGGCTTAAGGAAGAAGGAAGTTGGAAGTTTCCTTTCCTACGATTTTAACAATCTCTGGTTATATATATTATATATATATATACAGTATAAACGGAGAACCGAGTTCTCCGTGCAAGTTAGTCCTGGAGGAGTGTTTTGAGAGAGATCCATCGAGAGGAAGGAGGTATCCAACGTCGCGTGTGTGCTCAAGGAGATCTCTCCGACACGGTCGTCCTGATCGGCGTTTATTGATTTCAGCCAGGAGGTGCTCATAGCCTCTGCGTTTACTCGTCACGCGAAATTTTTGGCCGCACCATCGCGCGTTTTGCCGATCGATTCGCACGCTCGTCCTCCCACCAAGTCTCGCTCGCTCGCTCGCTCGCTCGCTCGCGACCCTATACGCTCGCCTCTGTCTTTTCTGCGGGCCTCGTCCACGCTTCTCCATCGTTTCTTCGCTCGCTGATCTTTCTTTCGTTACCCTCGAGAGTTATGAATCGGTACCCGTGACGTCAGCCGCGTCAATCGCCCGTGCCCTAAACCAGGGATCGTTTCGATCGCATCTAAACCACGACCCTACGAACGATCGATCGTTCGACCGGACAGGATACTCCGACTACCTGTACACATGTATGTATATATGTATATATATATATATGCGTGTGTATGTACATTTTCGCGAGTGTGTGCACGGATAATGTGTACCGTCACGATATACAGTGATACTCGATTCATCCTTCTTATACGTGCCTTATTCCTTCTCCGTTGGCCATTTTCCAAGAGTAGAGAAAGGACAAAGGATTGATCTGGACGTGGCACATCTATCGGAGGAGCCTAAACTCGTGAGTCGTCGAGTCGTTGCACTCAAGCTTGGGGTAAGACCTCGCTAATTGTTCCCTTTCGTTGTCTCAAGCGGGACCCGTTTCAGCCGCTACTCTTCAGACACACGGGTTAAAAAGGGTCTTCAGTGTTTTTTTTTCCTCTCTCTCTCTCTCTCTCTTCTTCTATTCGCTCTTC